AAAGAGTCATGGCTACGGAGAATTTTAAGATCAATTTTAGGGAAAAATATCAAACTGGTCGAACTATTAATTTTTTTGTATGTAAATAAACATGCACATTTAAAATACATGTACCGGTATTAATAACTATATGATTATCACTGACCCTACACAATGCTAAATTTTTCAAAAAAAAAAAATTGACCCGTGATCAAAAAAAGTTGCCGACCACTGATTTAGAATAACGTGTAGATGGTGGGAAACAACAGTATTGTATTGATCACACATACTGGTATGTTTCGAAACAATGTATCAGAAATTTAATTAATATTGACAAAACAATATAAAGCTTACCTATCCATATTTAATCTTGGTAGATGGTGAGAAACAACGTATTGTACTGAACACACATACTGATACGTATCAAGACAAAGTATAGGCAATTTCATTAATATTGACAAATCATTATAAACTTACCTGTGCATATTTAATCTTTATGATTGCTAATAAAGTTATAAGTTTTCTGCTGTCAAAGCACATCCATCATAACTGTTATTTGATGTACTATATAGGAATGTGTTGTGTACCATATTAAGTAGCATAGTACTTGGTAAGACTGCTATAGAGATGGTTATATGAATGTAGTGGCTCTTCATTAGTAAGTGTTAATTTCTGTGGCAAAGTTTTGCAAAAACGTTTATATGATATGAAATTCATTATTCCATGGTGTTTGAGGTGGAAGGTAATCTTCAGCTTGGTTTATTATTATAATTATTATTTTTTTTTTCATATGGCTTTTTGATATGTGAACAAAATTTCACCTAACATTCTAGCATGACTAAAAGTGGCATTAATTTATGGCCTGTATATGTGTAGATTAAAGCAGTGTTTGACAACACTTTTGTGGAATGTTGCCCGTCTATAGGACTTCACAAAGACGAACAAACAAACATTTGGCAGAATATTCATAAGTAAATCATAATGGTTTTTCATTGCTCTTAATGCGCCATAACAGTTTAGGGAGGCCGCAAGCTGGTCCCTGCTATTAAAAAGTTTGAGAAATGCTGGTCCAAAGAACAATGATGTATATAACTCAGTCTGGAACAGTATGTTGGCAGTATACCAACATTATCTTAAATTTCTCTCTCTATATAGTTTGAACCTCAGCGTATAAGCAGCAGCATTGACAGCTAAGTACTAGTAACTTCTCAGAAAAGCATCCAAAAGTTGATGCCAGCATTGCTAATGAACATTTCTAATGCAGTACTAGTAACTTCTCAGAAAAGCATCCAAAAGTTGATGCCAGCATTGCTAATGAACATTTCTAATGCAGTACTTTCTGGAAGTATCTTTTTTTTTTTCCACTTTAAAGCTTGACTCACAAGTGTTTTATTCATATTACATACATACATTACTTTAAAGATCTATTTCTGTACTATAGTTTTACAAATTTATATCTCTTGTTTTTGAAATAATCAACTTAATATGGATTGTTTTATGTTTCAGTGAGTATTATGACATATTGAAGAAATAACTAAATTTACTGATTTAGGGTGGTACTTTTCACTCACATTTCACAGGTACATCATTTCTAGTTCAGAGTTGGAACAGTTGGATGGAATATTATGGAAAACAAAAGTGCGGATTAATCTTTATGAAACTTATTAATTAATAGTCGTACTATATTTATATATATACATATATGAAATTAATACTTAGGTAGTCAAGCAAAATATAATCAAAAGGAAGGACTGCATTAAAAACAGCAAATCCAAACCTGTGATAAATGACACTTAAATGAATGAAACTAGTCCAAACACAATTAAATTAAAGATCCTGCATAAATTAAAGGGATCCCCAGGGTACAGGCTATAATGTGGGATATGAAATGTGCCCTAGGTTTTTGTACCTCAAAAACCCAGAGCATATTTTATATCTCAAATTACAGCCTGTACCCTGGGGACCCTTTTAATTTATGCAGGATCTTTAATTTAATTGTGTTTTTGTTTGGGCTTG